CCCCACCCGCACCGCCGTGCCGCCCCGCCGCTCGGCCACGATCAAACCCCCCTACCGTGTTCCGCCCTGACCGTGGCCACCGGTCGGTCGTCGTCGGCCGGCCGGCCGCCGCTCCACGCCACGCTCGCGCCCGCGGACCTACGCGGAGGCGGCATTCGAAAATTTCAGTCTTCTCGGTCACTCTGTCGGCACTCGTTTCATGTTTCCCCCCGAGGCACACCACGCAGCACCCTGTCGATCGGCGGTGAGCGCACCACCACCGCCACTGCCACCACCACCACCACCCCCGCCGCTACCACTTTTACCACCGACACCATCGTCGTCGTCGTCGCTGCCGTCGTCGTCGTCGTCGTCGTCATCGTCGTCGTCGTCGTCGCCGCCGCCGCCGCCGTAGTCGTCGTACACATACACACGCACACGCACACACCGCGCGCTCTCACACCACCACCCCCACCATCACCCCCCACCAACACAACCGACTCCGCCACCCCACCACACCAACACCGCCACCGAGCGACATCGCATCGTGTAGTGTACACACACACACGCGCGCACGACCGTCGGCATACACACGCGATATTTCGCCCCGTTCGTACCTCCGTCACCGGCTGCCCCGTGTCGTCGAGTACACATCACAATATCGCGCGCTCCGGCTCGCACGGACGACGAACGCGCGCCACACACCGCCGAGATACACGTCGCGATTTCTTCGGTTTTTTTTTTAAAAAAATTTTTTTTTTGTTTCGAGTCGTGTTCCGTATTTTGGTTCTTTTTTTTTTTTTTTTGTTAATCTGTTCGCCGAAGACACGAGAGACGAAATCAGTTTTTTTTTTACAACAGTCGTTACCGCCGACTGGTGACGGTATTTATTTAAAAAAAAAAAAAACGCTTCCGACACCTACCCACACCCGTGGACGCTTTGAATTTGTTATTTTTGTGGACAATTTTTTACTCGATGTATTCGCCCGCCAAACGTGTTTTACCCGGCCGGCGGCGGCCACCCGGCGACACGCCGGCGTCACGCCGATGATGACCGTTCGCGCGCGGCATCACCGCCACCGCTACGACGAGTGTCGTTACTACAACAACACCGCCACCAGTAATACTACTACAACAACCTACACCACCACCACACCGCCGCCGTCGCCGCTACGGGACTGCTCTAGCGACAACAAAACAGTACGCTCAGCTGATTCTCATGTGCTCGCACGCCGAAGGAGAAGCTAAACATAACGTGAGTATAACATTTTTACGTTATTTCATAATATTATTCCGCTTACGAGTCGTACGTATTTTTATTATCATCAGTTATGAGGTGTCATTTTTGATTTCAAGTACCTACCGTTAGGTACAATTTATTTTAATAGTTTTTCAAGTCCGAAAGCTCGTCGGCGTTGTAATTTTTGATATTTTTTCCTCCGATTCGCCTACATATTATTATTTTGTTCCTTTCGTAGTAATTTCTTCCGAGACCGCCGCCGCCGCCGATTCGTTTATAATAATTTAATTTGATAGTAATAGGTATATAATATAGTATGTAACTGTTTCTTTTTTATATGTAAGCCCGGGGCATCGACGATAGAAAGATATCAAATTGTCTTCCTATCGTCGATGCCCTAGGCGAAGATCCTGGCCAACATTTGGGTTCGGGGGCTTAAATATTGTTTAGATTATTATGATATTATGGACATCGGATATTGTCTTCACTCCACTGCAACAAATATCTCCAATACGAACATTTTTAACTCTGCATTGATACGTCTTCCCCGCTATAATTATTGTTTAGATATCACAAAATATATAATAGGTAAAATATTAGTATTATTTATGCCGGTTTGCATGAAAAATTGATTAATTTTTAATGGTTCAATAAAATTTAACGGACCAATAATCGGCTACTAAGTCACGTTTAAGGGACCATTAGCTCTCTGTCTATTTATTCAACAAATGTTTAGTGTTCATGCAAACCGACATTAATGTATTATTTTATACTCATTAAGTATGATTGTTACACAGTAACTACTTAGAGATGGTATTTCCATTTTTTTTTTTTTTTGAAAATGTTATCACTATAGGAGGCTAGCCTCTCCGATTTGCTCCTACTGTCGGTTAGCCTCGTCCAAATAGTTTTATTAGCACCCACTTAGTAGATAGTATTATAGCGTACTGAGATTTAAGTTTGACGTAAAATATCACTAGGTGATCACTATTGATTTCGTATAAAAACGCGTTTAGAAATAAAACGGTTTGTAAGAAATCCGACTCGAAAATATCGTTTCGTCGGGGCCAAGCCCCCGTGTCCCCCCTCCCCATACCCAGCCGTTTAGCCCAAAGGCCGACTGCCTCTATTCGCAGGATAGGTAACTCGCGAACAACAACAACAACAACAACAATTGTTATTACTCTATTAATCGTCCCCTGTAATAATGTAGTATAAACCGCGGTGACGTTTTACGATATTATTTTATTCGAGTTTGTATAATTAATAATAATAACGACGTTATATTATATTTCGCGGGACGAAAATACATCGGACGCGTATTAAATTTCCCTACACGTACACGACGATAATAAAGCAATAAAGCGCTATCGGCGAGCGACACACACATCGATAACAAGCGTATTATTATCGTATCGTTATTCGTTGGCATTTTAGCGGTCACGAATATAATAATAATATTGTTATTTTTCCGCGTGTGGATTACACGTTAATACGGCTCGGCTGTTGTAGTCGATCGCAACGAGTCGTCCGACGACGATAATATAATTGATAATATTATTTTGTCAAATCGATATTACGATATTTTAATAATTTGTCCAAACGGTTTTTTTTTTTCGTTTTTCGAATTTCTTCGCGCAGGCGTAATGGGTGGCCAATCGTTTAGGTGAGTACACACACTTGACCGATTTTCCGCTCTGTAAATTTACGTTTTTTCGAATATTATTACCGGTTTTTTAAAAAAAATATTATTGTCAACCTACCCACGACGGACACGCGGGTTTTCAAATCCTCTTCTCCACGCCGTTTTTCGGCTATGGATTACCTGCTACCCGGTACGTACAGACCGTTTTGTATTGTTGTTGTCGTTGTTATTACGACGACGACGACGTTGTTTACGTCGATTTTGTAAAAATATCAACTCTTGTAATACCTGTGCGCTCGCTCGGTTCGATGACGATGTCGATCGGTTCGGAAAACGTAGGTAATATAAAATTATTGTTTAAAACGTCGATATCCAGAGAGAGAGAGAGAGACAGAGAGACAGAGAGAGGGAACAAAAAAAGTTACTCATAATAATATTATATATTATTATTATGATGACTGTTATTACAGGTATGTCGATTATCGTGAGTCATTCCTCGTCGCGCACCGCAGCAGTCACACCGATGTATGGTTTATGTTTTTTTTTTTTTTTCATAAAATATAATAATATAATTATCGTAATAACCGCGTGCACACACACACACCAGAAATACCATAAAAACGTAATTAAAAATCGTTATTTTTTACACGACGCGTACGAGATATAAACCCCCCCCCCCGCGGCCATCGTGTACGATATAACGATGATGTGTAAGACGTTAATAATATTATGCCCAGACGTATAATAATATAATGACTGGATACCGGACTTCTTGTGGCAGCCATTTACGACTTGGGCAATGTGATGATAATAATATTATGCAATAATATGATAACAACATTTCACATATCATATCAAACGAGCCCGTTGCCGAACGAAACGATTAGAACTCGTTGTAAACACGTCTGCTCGAGTGACAAAATGGCGTAGGGCATCGTAATTCAACGATATGGAGTCGGGTCATTATAATATTATAAATATTCCGTCGTGACGTCTCGGCCGGTGGTCATTATGACGCGATTTAAATCGATATTTTTACGCGTAAAGGCCGTCGCGAATAGAAAAGCCAAAAAAAAAAGCGATCAAAAGTCTAACTCGTTTACGGCGGCGTTATCGGCGGCACAACAAACGTCCACGTAATAATAATAATAATATTAGCGACTTGGGGGGGGGAGGGTGTAATACATCGCGGGCGCACCGTCGTCGTCGTCGGCGAGAGTGTTTCGAAGTTTTTATCGCCCGACCCCGACGACCTTGACATACACCTCGCGCCGCCGTTTAGTGTGGCATTTCCGTCGTAAACGGCGTAAGTACAAAACACACGTCCGTAACTCGACCGAAACGTCGTCGTGCACACGTCATAAATATAAAAGTGTTATTGCTGCGGTGGTGGGTAGTCGACGACGACGACGACGACGACAGTCCGTTGTAAAATTAAATAATATATTATGTTTTCCAATTTTCTAACCTATAGATATTAAAAAATTCGAGATCTGACGTGATATTTACGATATTTATTATATTTTGTAATTTGTATTTCGGTCGTTTCGCACCGCGATTGTCGTCGCGAACGTTACACATGTCACCACACACACACACACACACGCACAGGTGATACGCACTCGCGGCGGGTGTCGTGGGGTGGGTGGGGAGGCCGATTAATTGGCCTCGTGTGTGTGGGTGTGTGCGTGTGTTGTGTACGTACGTAAATTACACAGGTCGTGTACACTTGTCACAGCGGGTGGGCGGCGCCCGACGAGGGGTCGCGACTCCGTGTATATAATATTATATCGTTTATGTACATATAAATGTGTATTATTATTTATATTTTATGCTCAGTCGGCATCATAATAATGTCGTCGCGCGTTCAAAGGGACGTGTCCGACGGGGGTGTAATATGCCTTTGCCCGTATTTATACTTTGCCGATCGCGAGTTTATCACATTGCTTAAAACCGTCCAAGTGTAGATATTTCCCTTACGATCGCGTATACAAAATCTCGCACCGTGATAACGCCTCTCCGTCACCCACCCACCCACCGACCCACCGCATGTCCGATAACATTTGCTGTGTGCAAACAATCATATAACTAACGCGTTTTCGTGTGTTTTTTTTCTCGTTTTCAGCGCACGTAGTCATGGAGATGCAGATAAGCAACGCGTCCGAGTTCCCGTTGTACCACTCGATGGCGACGGGACCGCACTCGTTCCAGCTCCCCGGCGCCATACCACCCGTCAGCACCATACCGTCGTACAAGAACACCATGTTCCCCGAACGGTTGGGGGGCTTCTATTACGACGCGGCCGGCGTCACGCACGCCATGCCCGCCGAACGGTGCGACCGGTGCTACGTCGAGCTGTCGGTGATCGGCAGTGGCCACCACTTCGGCAAGAAGCTGTGCGGCATGTGCGCGGCCAAGGAACAGCAGGTGTCGCCCAAAGTCGAGACCGAAATACTGGACCTGGACTCGCAACAGGTCATGTCGCAGCAACAGCAACAACAGCAGCAGCAGCAGCAACAGCAGCAGCAACAGGACACGACCAAAGGGTTCTTGCAGCACGGCGTCGTCGTGCCTCCCGGTTACGACAGGCCGCCGCAACCGCCGCCACCGCCTCCGCCGGCGGTCGAGTGGCCCGGCTACTTTCAGCCGCAGCAGAACACGCTGTCCGGCGAACACCTGTCGCCCGACTACAACAACGTGTCGACCACGACCACCACACCGCCGACGATGATGGGCGGGTCGCCGCCGTCCGACATGCAGCAACAGCAACAGTACCAGGCCAACTTCGACGGTGGCGGGTACGCGGTCGACTCGAACCAACAGCCCGGCGGAGGAGGGAGCGGAAGCGGCGGCGGGTCCGGGTCCGTGACCAAGGGCAACGGGTCGTGGAAGTCGAACGAGGCGAGGCGCGCCAAGACTTACGAGTGTCCGGCTTGCGACAAGTGGTTCACCAGTTCGGGTCACCTGAAACGGCACTACGGCACGCAGCTGCACAAAAACGCGGTCAAGCAGAGCGGCAAACCGGATCCCGCGCTTTTGCCCATGAAACATCACTATCACCCGTACCGGGACCCGGCATACGTTGCGCAACAGAAGCTCAAGCAGCAGCAGCAGAACGGTTCGTCGTTGCACAAGCAACAGTCGTCCATGATGATGCCAGCCGACTTCCGCCCCGTCACGTCCACGTCATCGTTCAACACCGATTCTTTTTTAGAGCTGACTCCCCCAAACCTGACAGCAAGCCTCTCGGACAGTTTGGGGGGAACCCAATTCCTACCGGCCCGTCGGCCGGTCAGCAACAGCAGCAGCAGCAGCAACAGCAACAACAGCAGTACGGCCGGTTTCACGGACGAGATGCAAATTTCTTCTTACCCCAGCAGCAACAGCAACAGCAACAAATACCGGGCGGACCCAACGGCGGTCCGTACGGTGGCCCGCCACCAGGCCACGTCGTTCCACGGCCACCGGCAGTCGACGGAGGGTCAACAAGCGCTTTCGGCATACCTGCACCACCCGATCACGGATACCATCCAGCCATACACCACCCAGGGTTCTATGATCCAACAACCTACCAACACGGATTTGTACACCACTATGCTCGACAGTAACGGCTGTACCGGCCCTCTGTACCATCGCCAGGTGCATCAGTGCAGCTACCATCTCAGCTGCGGGGTCATACGCGGCACTCGGCATCAGCACCAATTGCCGCCTCTGCCGCCGTCGCACCACAGCCAACAGCAGCAGCAGCAGCACCAACACCATCAGCGAACCATGATCGATTATCAACAGCCTTCGTCTACGACGGTGCCGCCGTCGTCGCCGTACCAACAACCGCAAACCCAACAGCGCCAGTTGCACGTGTTGCAGCACCGCAACATCAAGCAGGAACCCGTCGAAATGGTCGAATACAACAACGTGGACGACACTCCGTTGGCCAGCCCGGACTCGAGCATTGATCACCACCAGCACCATCAGCAACAACTGCACCAGCACCACCAGCAGCACCGCCCCCAGTACCAAGGCCTGTTGGTGATGGCGCCCATATCGCCGTCGTCGCCGCCGCCGTCGATGCCTCTGCCGCTGCACCAGCAGCAGGCCGTCACCGACGACGACGCGATGGTCAGCGACAGCGACGTGGACCTGGACGGCGGTTCGCCGCCGACCTTCAGCGGCGCCGAGCTGTCGTCGTCGTCGCACTCGTCGCTGGCCAAGAAGTTCCGGAAAGCCACGCGCGTCACGTGCGACATCTGCAACAAGGACTTCACGGACAAGTGTTACAAGACGCAGCACGACCAGAGGTTCCACAGCGGCGAGAAGCCGTACCGGTGCGGCGTGTGCGGCAAGCGGTTCGGCGAGCAGAAGATCCTGCAGGTGCACGAGCTCCGGCACAACGACAGCAACAAGGCGTTCCCGTGCACGGTGTGCACCAAGAGCTTCAACTTCAAGAACGACCTGGACCGGCACTTCATGTCCAGCCACTCGGCCGAGAAACCGTACCAGTGCGTGCAGTGCGAGAAGAAGTTCGTGCGGCTCGACCACAAGCGGCACCACGAGAAGACGCACGAGGACGCCGTGGAGAAGACGAAAAAGAAGAAGAAGGCGATGGCCGACATGTCGTCGTCGTCCAACCGCTACCTGCACGCCGACGAACTGCAACTATCGTAAAACACTCACACCGGACACACGTAATATTAATTTTACTATTGTGGGCACCATCGCGTAAGTCGAAATTTTCAATTTTCCAAACGTTTTCCCCGTATAAACGCAACACGATCGGCTTTTTACGAGACGAAAAATCATTACACGCGCTGTCGTCTCGCGGGCGTAGGCGACGCCGCGTCTAACATATGTAAATTGTATTTTTATTATAATTTTTTTTTTGAATTTTTTTTTTCAGGTCGTAACGATTAACACTACACACACACGCGCGCAAGTGCGGAAATAATAATATCGTTTTATTGTTGCCGCCGTGTCCGCGAGAACCTTTGACTATATATTATTATATGAGTAGGTACTGTATACTATTATAATATATATTATACTCGTATATATCGATTTACTAAATTTTTCGGTCATCAATTTTTTTCGTCCGATTTTGCGAATTGCGTCGAGATAACGTCGATCCGAACCTGACGACCGCGGTCCGGCATCATTATCCCCGGCACCGTGATTTATTTTATATAGTGAAAACAAATTTTTCGAGTTTGACCGACATAATACACGTCATTATAATTTATGTTGTACATAACAATAATAATAATCCTAAATCCAGGGGCATTACAATATTGTTAAGAATTTTTTTTTTTTTTTTTTTCATTAATATATTTTGCAACCCGCACCAAAAATAACCGAAACCGTGTAATCCTGCCCTTCCCTCCCCCCAATAAAAAATACCCCGTCCTATTGTTGCGTCGTTTGTTGATGGCTCAATCTCTTATACACTAATAAATATTATAATATTCCTAATATATGTATTATTATTATTATTATTATTATTTTATACGTGTTTTTTTTTTTTTTTTTTGTCATTTGTTGAATATTTTATTTTCATTTGATTTGGGTACCAATATTGCATTAGTTAAAACATATCCCCCACATGTTACATATCACACGACGACGCTCTAGAATTATTATTATTATATTACTTATGACATTCGTTTGTTTCGTACCTGCTATTAACTACTATTTAATATATTACGATGATAATATTACGTTGGATGTATGAAAAAAAACTGATATTTTTTATTTTGTGCCCTCCCCATAATCTTGTTTTGTGTTTAAGTAGATACCTTTTTTTTTTTTTTAGAGCGGTAAGACGAACGCGTTAATTATATTATTTTTTTATCGCCCTTTGTCCTCGGTGCGAATTTTTTAAGTTTTTTCACATATACACACAATTCTGTTATACTACTATCAAAAATATTGTATCAATTAATTGTCCATAGTATTATGTGTTATTATTACGCCAAGTGTTTATTATTATTATAATTTTTTTTTTTTTTTTTGATTTATTTTAAAACAAATATCGATAGTACAAAAAAGTACCTCGTAGATATTGTGGAAGACTACTACTACTACTACTACTACTACTTGGTATCAACAAACAAATTTATATAATTATAAGTATAACAATAACAATTATAATTATATATTATATATTATTAATAATTAGCGAAATTATTATATAATGTTTTAACGAGCAATAAGTTTGTAAATAAAAACAAAAAATAATAAAGATTGATTAGAAATAACACGATATCGTTTTGCGACTTTGGTTTTCCTATATAATCTATAAAATATATACTTATAATGTGGTTAAATAGGTTGATTTTACGAGGAGAATAAGAGCACGAGGAGTCACCCCCCCCCCTCTCGTCGTACGTTTTCCCGCTCCGTCTATCTCGACGGTATGGGGTCGTGGATTTTGAACCCGAGAAAGACCCTTTTAATACGTCGTAGTCCTAGTAGCCGGTATATAATAATAAGGGATGGGAAGTGATTCTTATATAACCCTTCGGTGCTGCCGTTCCTCCCCTAACCGTATTTTATTAGGCGTATTACGGTACACTTATTTCAAACCGACCGAGGGCGAAATTGCCGCCGATTGTCAGCTATACATTTACGAGTTTGGATAAACGGAAAATTACCGGTTAAAAATCGAGCGGCGTTCGACAAGCCTTGTTATCATTATTATTATTATTTATTTATTTTTTTTTTTTTTTGATTTATTGATTTATTGATTTGATTTGCAAACAAACAATTAATACATTTGAAAATATAATTATAATATATATCGTCTGCTCACCTTCTATAAGCTGTGCTTGTATTGAAGGTGATGAGTTCTTAATATAGAAATATTTAATTATTAAACATAATTCTTAATAGACTAAAAACATATAGAATAGGTTAATGTGAGAGAGAAAGAAAAAACAAAAAATTTTAGTTACAATATAGTAATAGGAGAAAAAAAATAGGTACATAATAATAATAAATGAAAACAATGCATAGATTTAATAGTTATACATTAGAACTTAGAGTATAGTGTTAACATGGAATATTTAAAATGATTAAAGTTATTTATTTATTTATTATTGAAAGTATGCGGATAAAGTATTGGTCGTTTAAAGAAAAGTAAGTACGGTAAACAATTGCTGCATTGACGGTAATATTAACAAATCAAAAACTGTTAAAAAACAATTACAAAACAATCGAGTAGAAACACAATTCAAGGTAGTGAGAATAGAGGAAAGACTTCAATCGTCCTTATTATATTATTACACTAAGAGGGCTGATTAGTATTATTATTATTATTATATCGTTTTTGTTGACACACATTCGTAAACTCAAGGTTTGTTATAAATAGATTAAAAGAAACTTATTATAAAATATGTATACAGTGTAACGTATCATTATGTAAATTATATATTTCTAAGATATTATTAATCGCGGGCGTGTGTACGACTTGATAAATTGTGTGTATCTAGAACACGATGTATATAGATAAATTATTCAACTTATAAAAAACAATTTTATTCACATCGCGGGCTACTAGAACATTATTGGAAAACCTTCGATCGGCTGTGGTGGACTGCACGCGACGATTAAAAATCGGTAAATCATCGTGGTATAAAATGTCTGGTATATAAATAAATAATGATATCACCATAAAAGCGGTGGTATCGGCACTATAAATTAATTTTTAATCGTCGTCGCACGATTATAATATTATTATTATAACCTATATAATATTCGTAACTAATAGAATATAATAATAATGATATTGTTATCATCGCAGTGTTATGAAATACAATAATTATCATTCAACCGATGATCCGCCAGTCGGGGCCTAAAATTAAGACATTTTGCACCTAACCAAAATATTTTAAAATAACGAAGTGATAGAAGTGCACATTTCGCACATGACTTCACATCGCATAATTGTTTTTGCTGCTATTGTTAAAAATCGGTTATAATAAATACAATCTAAGACAATGCGGTTTCGTGCGACTAAACATTTTGAAATAACTTACGGGTCACCTAAGGGTTTTGAACGAATACAGTGTACTATGCTGATTAGTGACTTCCAATAATCGATAGTGAATGTTAATCGAATGAAAATTTATAAAACCCGAAAATAAGTGCTGCAAATTTGCTACTGCGCACAATTTTAGTCCCCGCCGCCGCAGTACGGATACCCAAATTTTGTTTTCGACGTTGCCACTCTGTACCTGAGCGTAAGTATTATATGCATTGCTCTCGCCATGTGTATTATATTATATTCGCTTTATTATTATTATTATACGGGTAGCACACCACCCCGCCGCCGCCGCCGTTTACCTCCACGACCTGTTCAAACTCTTCCACCTCATCGTCCTCCTGTACTACGCCTCTCGTACAATATGTATAATATAATATTCTAAGCGTTTTGTATATTAATATATATATACGTTGCGCGCGTGTTGGTCGACAGAAATTTACATTTTTCGAGACCGTTCTCGCGAGCGGTCACCGCCGCGGAGGGCCCGCCGAGCAAATGACGTCTAAATATTTACAAGTGTTTGTGTTGACCACCGTCGTAAAAGGTTATATGCATTGTATGTGCGCCACACACACACACACACATTACATAAATTATGCCACCGCCTGCACACACACACACACACACATATACTATATACAGAGTACAATGTAAAGTGTAGTTCTTAGGTACCACCCACCCACCCACCTGCCTATGTATAGTGGCGGGGTAGTCGTAAATAATAATAATGCACAGGAGCATAATATTATATACGGACGTATCAAAACACGTATTGGTCGGATATTGTATAATAATAATAATATAGTAGGTATACTTGCATGGATGATATTTGGTTTAGGAAACGAACAACGTCCTCCGACGGTGGTTGTACGGCGAATGGGTAGTCAAAGTCTTCTTCCGTTTGCGATCTACCTTAGAACATCCGAAGATCATCATCTGCAGTGGCCCTGTATACCTTAATATGACTATACCAGTGGCGTAGCCAGAATTATGAAATGGGGGGTGTTTAAGTATAGATTAAAACCAAGTTTTTACAGTTTTCGTATATAAATAAATTTAGGGTTCGGGACTTGACTTGTTGCACTAAAAATTATCGAAATATGCTTAAATATATGCAGCTACATCTTAATATTATTTTTGAAAAATTCATAAAACCTAATACAATTTTTGTAATAAAAAACTAAAAAATAAGTAGGTATATAAACATGATAAAAATAATTTAATCACTGGTATACAAATTTTAATATAAGTTGGTACCTATATATTGATTAATATGATGGACGGAGGACACAGCTATTGCATGTTTTGGACATTTTTAAACTATTGTGAATTAAAATTTGATTTTTAAAAATACTGGAATAAAATACTAGGTTAATAAATAAGTAATAGGTAACGAATAACGTGATATGCGAACCCCGTGATAAACGAACATATTGTATCTACTGATTTTCATTTCTTCGTACAATCTAGAATCTAGATGTCAATTATAGTTTTAACACAGTCTTGTCACAAAGAGACTTATAAAATCTAACGTACCATATGCGAAAATAGGGTCCATGATATCCTCCCAAACATTTACTAAAATTTTTTAAGCTTATTCAATTTTATAATAGTATGATTTTAGACT